ATCCTGCATCCGAGGACCAATGGGATTTTTATTTCTTGTTTCTTTTCCCCAACTTTGTTTTTAATTTTTTTTTTTTAGTTTCCACTCCTTTTAATTGCTTTTCCAGCAGCTGTCACACAGCTGGAATCAGGATGGAGTTAGTTGTGTTTTGCTTTTTAAAATAGCTTTCCAATGGATCTGCATTCAAAACAGGGAGGTGAGGAAATCAGATAAGCCAGGAAATCCAAACGAGTTGGAAGGGTGTACAGCCACACGACAGTTCAAGTAGTTAAAGGAATTTGGCTGTCCTGGAACTTCAACAGCTTGAGGCCTCTGCATCTGATCTGCAGAGCTGACTAAAACCACAAACGCTGTCTGGTTGTTGCTTAACAAAAGGCCGTAGCTCTTCTGCAGCTGCCGATTTACTCATTTTCAAGGAATGAGCTCATTTAGGAGAGGAGCAGAGCGTTTTCCTCCGTCCCTTCCTATTAGGCAACAAGTAAGAAATGGGGAAGGTTACTCATAGATGCAAAAAAGCACCTCTGAGGTACACTTCACGAAAAAGGTACGTTTCTGACCCATACCCTGTGCCATAGCGTGCTGGCAGTTCCTGTGCAGCGTGGAGCCCTGACATGCCTGCACACTACCCACAGAAAACGCATTTTAACATGAAAATGGTACCTGCTCCGTGCGTTCCTTGGAGTTTCCCATCCTGTGTACGGGGTGCTGCTTCTGGCTCTGCTGCCGACGTGGGACCCCAGCCCAAGGCAATCCACTGGGGCTTCACTGGAAAGCAGCTAGAAAGCACACTGCAGCTCAAAACAGCATCAATTAAAGCTCCAGGCAGTTGCTCCCCAGGACCAGCCCTTACACCTACCAGGAGGAGGAGAGGGGCTGCGAGTGGAGCCAGCATCCCCCGAGGGGGACACGAAGCAATGCATTTCAGGACAAAGACCTGAAAGCTCCAGGAACACTCTTACCATTCAGCATCCCACACTAGGGACTTTCTGAAGATCTCTTAAAGGAAGAATTACAAGGGAATGGATTAATTTTAGAGCTTTAAATAAAGATAAAAGTATGCTGCCCTTAACACATCACTAAAGAAAACCTAGTATCAGAACACAGGAATTTTCACCACGTTCAGATCCAATTTCTTTGGGGTTATTTTCCTCCCTGTAGCTGACCCGCAGGGCTGGAGGTGGACCTCCTTCTCCTTGGCAGTGGGTCACACCAGGAGCTGGCAGCCCCCCGCAGCCCCCGAGGAGGCAAGCAGCGTCCTTCATCCCTGCACACCACGGTTTTGTGTTCCAGCTTCAGCCACAGCGCCCACCAGCAGCCCTTCACCCCTCGCGCCGGAGCGAGGACCCATCCAGCCACCCAGCGAGTTCCTCTTGGGCACGGATCCAACCAGAAAAAAACGAGTTATTTTTTTCCGTGGGGTTAATTTGCAAGTGGACGAAGGTTGATTCATCCCTGCAGATGCATGATTCAGCGTGCCAGGAGCATGCAGCTGCTGCCGGGTCACTTCTAGCCTGAAGTGGGCGGTCGAATCCCAAGTGTTGCAATACTGCAATTCCCTCAAGTCAATTAAAAATATGCAATTACTGAAGCCTGACAGTGGGGCATGCCAAGAGCTGGGCCCCCCCCATGCTCTACCCAACCCTCACCTGCACACCCAGTGTGGTCCAGGGAACAGCCAAGCCTATTGAAAACAGACCCCTTACTTCCAGCCCGGCAAAGCACACGCATGATAGAAACAGCAGCGTTTAACAATTCAATCCATCTTTATTTTGGTAGTACTTTCTGCTGGAAAAAGAAAGACCTCAACTTTACAAATACAGGAAAGTGGTAAAAGAAAGACGTGTATAGGGTAAACGGCAAATGATTCAAAGTGCACTCAGGAGGAGCGTTACACACGTGTCACCTTCAGACCCGATCCGTCCCTGCTACCAGCGTACGGGATGTCGGCTACGTAACAGACTTCACTTGCTATGCAGAGATATTTTTAAATAAGGGCTTTTCTTGGTAATGTAAACAAAATCAGACATATTAAATTCCTCCATATAAAAATACAACCTTATAATAACACCACAAAGTAAATGCATCTTCCAAGCTTTGGATGTACTAGCTATGTCTTAACAACCTTCTAAGGTAACTAAAGCCGTTGTACCTGGGAACGGTGGCACAAAGTGAACTGATTAGCCCCAAATCCCACAGTCAGCCCCAATCCATCTCCCTTCTCTCCGTTTTATCTCCTAGAGCACAAACTGGATGGCTGGGATTTGGCATGTCCCTGATAACAGCTGAGCAAAGGGACTTAAAACCACTACAATAAAGCTCCTGCGTTTCCAGGGGATTCTGTGGTTTAATTTTGCATGTTTTTCCCTATGCTGGCAACTATAGATACCACGTAACACTCAGAGACTTCTGGTACGATACACTACGACTGCAGCGATGCTCTGGGGTGGCATCCCAACGCCGCATCGACACAGGATGTCACCACGCCAAAAAGGTCCCACCCAAACACGCAGTAAATGAGCCAAATTCTTTGTATGTGTAGCTGCACAAATACAGTGACACCATCAACTGGGTACTCCAGGGTAAACAAGAACCGTACCACGGTGAACAAATGTAGATATTAATGTTTTCATACGATCCATCTGAAACATTAGAAAATAGGAAACTATTTGAAACCGTGTGGTGTCACCCAGACAGTATCAAACTACTTTACAGACTATTAACTCTGACTAGTTAAAGAATAAAATTAAGACATACAAGTTAACAGGTCACAACTGGACTTTCCTAAGTTCACGTGGGAAGAGCATGCTGTCCGTGGATGGACAGAGGAAACTCAGCTGAAAATCCATTTACAAAAAGGGATGGAAGCAAGAAATGTGGCATTTGGAGGAGACGCACTTAGCTTGTATGAGCAGACGTGGGAAAGCATCACGAGACAGAACTCTGGGTCCCACCTTTGCTCCAAAGAAAGGAGGGTGCGCAGAGATACTGGCCAGCCGTAAGGATGCAGCTGGGAGCAACAGGCTGGGGGTTTCCCAGAGGCTACCTAAGTGTGAACAAAAGAGCTGGATTTGGGTTATTTTTCTTTCCGTACAGGGAAACTTCAGCCCTAGAAGGGTTCCTAGTGGAGCTGTAGTTCAGAGGCTGTGCTGTAATCCTGTTCTTTACCTCTGTCTCGTTCCCAGCACAGGGGAGTTGGGCACATGGAACTCCCATGGCTCTTGGCTCATCACAACGAGCAGGTTCATGGTCTGCACTCCGCAGGGTATGGACCTTTCCCTGGGGAAGCAAACAGGGCATCCAGGTGTTTCTGCAGTTCTGGGGCTCAAACTTTAACCATGAAACAGAATCTGTACGTTTAGCTGCAATCTACGGGTACAAAAGAGGAAGCAAAAGTTGTACACGGAGTTCCCATTTCCCCATAGCAGAGCACAAACACATGAAAACAGATTTTGGCCAATGTGATGATAAATTGTTATCAGACATATACATTATTGCCTGATAATTACAAACAATTAGGACACAGAACTCCACCTTAACCCACTGATTTTTTGAGTTTTCACAAGAAAAACAAAGGTCTTTTTAACTTTAATGCGAAGATATATAGTTGCTATGACTTATGAAGCCAATGTTTCGATAAAAATGCATCTTTCTATTTGCTCACTACAGAACACAGTGAACTGCTAGCAATCTTCAATTTCACCTATAAAATTTAAAAAGTGATGATAGCTTTGTGTAGAAAAAAAACAAAAAAATAATATATCATTTGACATACATTTCAATGCAGCTTAGGCTAAAGATCACATATTCTGCTCTTCTCAGTGCTTCCATGCAGACCAAAGGCACCATTCCTACTGATGAGGTTGTGAATTTGGACCTTCTTTTTTTTTGGATTTACAAAGGCAAATGAAAAATTGCCCAGGCCAGGACAAAGCAAACGTTCCCGTGCTGAGCACACTACTGCACCACGTACCGCTGTCACAACAAAGACGGATTAGGAAATGCTGTTGCATGTGCTTATGAATTCACTGTCAGGAAAAATGAGCACAGCTAAAAAGGGCTGTTTCTAGAAACAGCTGGCAGGACACACGCCGTTACACCCAACGAAAGAATCAGACTGTTTTTAATGAAGACGAGAAATACTCACATCTCTGCAAATCCCGTAACTACACAGTTATGCCTTTGTACTTTTATCAAGCGAGGGAGGTGGGGGGAAAAGCATCCACTTGTGTACACCCCCGTTAACCCTACAGCGCATGCATTACGAACGCCGGCGCCACCCAGAACGGCCGTCAGAGTCAGGCACGCCTGCCGGCCCGCAGCGCAAAGGAACACAAGTGCTGCCGAGTGCCATATCGCGTCTGTAAACGAACATTTTCACGACGGCTGGATCCCAGGCTAAGCTCGCAGTGTAACTCAGGACCCTCCTTGCAGTGAACAAAGTTACTCTGGAGTGGTTTTTCCCCTCTTCTAAGCAGGTGCATCTTCTACGCGTAAGCAAGGAGCGATCAGCGGCGGAGGAGCAGGACCTTGCAGGGACACGTGTGTGCACCTTGGCGGGAGGGCAGCGACGCCCAACCGAGGGCAGGAGGCACGGCAAGACCCTGCGAACCAGCGAGCGGGTCCCGCGGGGCGGGATGCTCCAGCAACCGCTGGTTTTGCTCCAGTAAGGACAGCCCAACGTCAGGCAGCCAGCGCAGCACAGGCGACCAACACCTGGAGACAAGCGGCTGTCGTGGGAGCATCTTCTCACTCAACACAAACTGGGGAACAGTGAGGGGAGAAGGAATTTCGGATCAGCCAAAACAACGCTGGGGGATGCTCACCGCTTCCACCACTACTGTGGCATTATTCCTAAGGCCGGGACGGTGGAACACACTCAGGGTTTCCCAATACGATTTTCCTTTTCTGTCCCAGCTCCGATGTTTTCCACGCGCATCCCAACGCGTGCGTGGAGGATCGCTGCTGGCACAAAGCACGAGCAGATCTGGATCGTCAGGAGCTCAGAAAACAACTCGGTCTTCCTGCGTCCTCTCCCACCACAGCGTGCTGTTCAGGGTGCCGAAGCTGCTGTCCTCCTCCTCCTGCTCTTTAGCAAGCTCCACAAAAACCTGGAACCGACAGAAGGGATGGGAATACGCTATGCTCCTTGTAGGAACGTCCTTGGTCTCAAACAGAATTTGTGCTAAAAACCTCACAAATACTAAGCACACTCCTTCATCTCTGAGTAGGAAGTTTTGAGTGTTTGGGGTTTTTTCCTGCCCTCCCGCCTCCTTTCTGCAGGAGCACAATGAATGCATGAACTGAATACATGCCAAAGCAGCTCTAACTAATCCAGAATAAGAAATAAAAAGACTCAGCTTTACCCTCCTTCCAGAAACCAACAGCAATGCCCGTCCTTTGAATAAATCAGACTGATATTTCCACTTACGACCCGTTTATTTTGCTCCAGTCCCTGCAGTTGGCATCTTATCTTTAAAGGAGAAAAACGGCAGTGAAAAGGAGCAGGGGAACTGGCAGTTCCAGTTCACTCTGGGGACTTCAGTTCCCCAAAAATGCCCCAACAGGCATCAGCAGAGCAGCCTTAGCTGCCTGAAAGCCGGGCACAGGGACAAGCTGCCCGCACACGGCCATCAGCCCCTCCCCATCCACTACGACCTGCCCACACTGGATGCACAACTGCTCTGCACCAGCATCAGCCTCGGACCCGTCTTAAAACCCGCAACACCTTCGCCTGTCAGGGTTTACTTCCACAAAACACCATTTGCTTTAACGTACCTGTTCCAGCGTTGCCTGAGAGAAGCTGTACTCCTCGATGTTAAAGGCGTGCTTTACTGTTGAAAGAATTAACGAGAGCGCGTGTTTAGGGACACTTCCCCACCTGACACAACTGGCACGTTAAAGCATTTTATGGTGGTACATGGGCTTACACTTGATTTGACAAGAAACAGTTGGCAACAGAAATAATAATAGGAAAAAAATATAATAAATAAAACTGGAACAGAACTGCAGAAGTGCCAGTGCACGGAAAATGTGTCAGTTACGGGAGACAAAATGATTTCTGTATGTGATGTGTGGCAAGTCCTTAATTACCTTCTTCCAGCTTGGAAAACGAATGTGAAAGCGACTGTACGTCTTCTTTAGGGATTTTATATGCCAAAATAGAAGCAAAACTGGAACAAAGAAACAAAGCAAAGCAAATTTAGCTTCGGGTAAAATTACTCAAAGCAAAAATATTAATATCCAAGTGAATGGATTTAAATTCATTTTCTGAAGGTGATTCCAGGCATTTGGACCAACCATCATCATACAAGACAACAGAATGATGCAGCTCCAGCAGACCAGCTGGTTTATAGCCCGTCTCAGAGATCCAGGTCCAGGTGCATCAGCTGAGATCCCCCTGAGACCGCTTGATTATTTATATGCTCTTCAACTAAGATTAAAACATTTATATGCTGCCTATAATCTCATGAAACAAAAATTCCTGCCTGGGACTCCCAAAGTTATGAGGTTTTGCCTTTCAAATGAACTCAGACAGAAGTCACAGGATCTCTTGAGACTCTGCATCATCCAGTGGTTCCCGCAACCCAGACTCCGGAGCAGGAAGCTGCTCTACGCCACACATGTGCTTCCCAAAAATCAACACTCCTCCCAGTCTCCCGCATTCAGGAACGCTCCTTGCACAATGCCTGCAGTGCCCTTTTTGGAGAGTCTTATCAGTGGTCACCAAGCCAAACCCAGCGGAAATTCAAAGCTGCTGGGGGAAAACCAACCAACCCACCCTCAAACTTGGAGGGACACCCAGAAAATGTTCAAGCATTCCTAGATCAGGGCCAGTGACTCAGATTTTACCCTGATTTCCAGGGAAGCCCAAGCGATGAGGAAGCCTCCACGCAACAGCTATGCAGAAATCGAGTTTTGCTTCCTCCATGCTGAACATCTGCATGCAGACCTCGCGGCCACCGCCCCACAGCTTTTGCTGACCTGCAAAACGCTTCCCCTTCCTTTTCTTTCTAAGTTACATGTAAATATTTTTAATAAATTTTAGTATCACAGCATTCCTGACCGGATGCCAAGGAGCTGCTGAGAAATCATGGGCTTGTATTGATATCAATGTTTTCTGCGTGTTTGTTAAAGTTTACCTTTCCTGACGATTCGCGTTGGGGAAGATGTGTAAAATCTGGCTCTGCAGATACTCCACCTGCTGTATATCTGCTGTTTCTTTTAATTTCATTTCCAAGAAGTATCCTCTGCCAAACTTACTCTTTAGGTGTTGGACAGTACCTATACATCTACCAATTGCAGAAAAGCAAGAGTCACACATATTACACCACACTCAAAAAGCAGCCCAACTTCTAACAGACCCTTTTTGCTGTTCATTTGGCTCCAAGTCTAAGGTGCAAAGAAACCGTATCCCTGTATTTACCTATATTTGGGGCTGACACGCTGGAGGGAAGGGATGGCATCCAGAGGGACCTGGACAGGCTGGAGAGGTGGGCCACTGCCAACCTCATGGAGTTCAACAAGGCCAAGTGCAAGGTCCTGCACCTGGGTTGGGGCAATCCCAAGCACAAGGCCAGGCTGGGCAGGGAATGGATTGGGAACAGCCCTGAGGAGAAGGATTTGGGGTGCTGGGGGCGAGGAGCTGGCCATGAGCCGGCCGTGTGCGCTGGCAGCCCAGAAAGCCAACCCCATCCTGGGCTGGATCCAGAGCAGCGTGGCCAGGGGGGCGAGGGAGGGGATTCTGCCCCTCTGCTCCGCTCTGGGGAGACCCCCCTGCAGTTCTGCTCCAGCTGTGGAGCCCCAACAGCAGAAGGACACGGAGCTGTTGGATCGAGTCCAGAGGAGGCCCCGGAGATGCTCCGAGGGCTGGAGCCCCTCTGC